GATTCCGCGTAGTTCCGTTTATCACAGAATGCAGATGGATACCGTGAGTTGTCGGTCCGCGGTGGGTATGAGGGTGTCACAATGGTCCCATTGGATATCGACGTCGGTTGAGTATTCTCCTGCCGTTTCTGCTGCTGGTCCCTGAGAATCTGCGCAGCATTGAGTCTCTGTTGAATCTCTTTATCGATAGCCAGCTTCCAATGATCAATCCGTGGGTGTTTACTGGGACCGCTGCCACTCGCCATGTAAAGTGACTCACCAGGCCGTTTCGTCGGAAACTTGCCGCGACCCTCGGAGTAGTACTTGCTACTTTCCGACGGATAGTCACTTGGCCCCTGAGGTCGCGTAGGCTCCAGGTACCTCATTGGGGGCCGGGCAGCTTCACTCATCGCAGGGTATGACGTCAGTCCCGGTTTGACGTCATACAATGTCGACGATATCGAGCTCTTCTTAAACGTCGACATGTGCGGCAACGGAACGTTGGATATCACATTTTGATGCTGAGGTGGCACGTACAGCTGTTGGGACGAATTCCTTCGCAAGTCATTCTCCGGTTGGTGATTTGGCTGACCAGGATGATGCCTCAGTGATCCCGAATTGAAGTCCGGGAGGAAATCGACCTTTGGCGCACATACCGGCATCTGCGGTGTTGCTGGCCTGAGAGTTGGTACAGAAGTCCGACCATTGGCATTTCTATCGAAACTTGGGTATCCACCAGGTTGTGTCGGTGGTAGCATTCTTCTCGTGTTGACTACACTAGAACTACTCACCTGCTTATCACCGGGTTCGAGATCATCGCGTGCGGTCGAGTCCGCCGATGTCTTTACAGTCTTGACAGAGAGATCGAGAGGAGATTCCCGTTTTCTGATAGGCAGCCCATTCGCCTGAGGTGAAGGGGTCGACGGTATCCTCGATGCAGGCTGACTCGATGAATTTGTATACGCGTAGTCTTTGTAATTGTAGTTATCCACCCGCTGGGGAATCGGAATCGGTCGACTTGATTCGGAAGACGAACGCGAGTGCACCGTCACTGCGTACGGCTGATTCGGTCTCGTGTCATTGACAATTGACGTCACCGTCGTTGTGGAAGAGCTGCTGTGATGACTCGGTGCAACTGTTGTAGCATACGCTCGGTAATTCTGTTGACCTGAATACGTATACGCACTTGTAACCACTGACAGGCGTTCGTTGACTGCTGAAGTCATTGGGATGAAGTCCGGGGCGCGAGGTACAACAGGAACTGATGGAACTGTAATTGAATTGGAGGGCCTTTGTCTCGGCAACGCTTGAGCTTTACCCATCGCATCCCTTGAATTTCTGTTGGAATGGTATGAGGATACTGCGGCAATTGGTAGATTGTGCGTATTCGCATTCCTCGATGCGTTTGGCATTCTGTAGCCAGCAAAAGAATTTGACTGACTCGCTGGACCTGGAGCAGCTTTCGGATCAGTCCCATTGTATGGTAATTTGCTTGTTGAGTTGAGATAGCTGCCATTGGCATCAGTAGAGGTCGCTGATGTGGGATTGATAGTTGATGATTGGGTTGGCGATGGTCCCGCCACCGGAAGTTGAGAATAGGTTCGCGATGTCTGAGGATAACCTTGATTTGCCTTTTGATAGGAATGATAAGAAGAACCTGGATAGCCACTCGGATAGACTGGACGGTGCTGCTGAGACGATGATTGAAGTCCATATGGATGTGATGATGGATGAGGAGGAGGCGGTGGTGGCGGTGGATACGTCGGGGAGTGAGGCTGAAAGTTTGTGGTATTGTGGGGTGATGATGGGTGATGATGAGGGGAAATAGGATGTCCAGTGTGCACCGTTATGTGCGGTGATTGTCTCTGTGGTGAGCTTGCATGACGGCCTGTTGAATCATGCGATGCACCAAGGTTATAACTCGGTGATGGAGGTGGCAGCATTTGCTGATTGTGATTAACAGCCGTGTACGGTATTGCTGATCTATTAGCGTATGGATTCTGATGGGTTGAGGTTAATCGACTAGTGAGCTGATTCTGGGTTGATAGTCCATGGGACGACGACAGTGAGGATGGAACAACTGATGGTACTGGCAGATGAGGAGAAGGAATGTGTCCAGGATGACTGTGGGGCGAAGGAATGTGACTGGTTTGGGCATGACGAGGACTGCAGGGATTTGAGTTGGAGGATGTTGATGAGGAGGAATGTATGGGATCCGATGGACGATTTGTCGAGGATCGGTAGCTTCCGGATGGATAAAGAGGAGTACTAGTTGGAGGTACTGAGTAGGCTGGGGTATCCTGCTGAGGATTACGAGAATTCTCCTCGGTTGTGGTGGTACGTCCTGGTGGCTGTGTTTGTGGTGGATTATGAGTTGATTGTGGCGTTGGCGCCTGATAGATGGAGTTCTGAGAGAAAGGGGCTGGGGCACTTTTCGTTATATCCGGATGATGATAACGCGGGTAATACTGAGCTCTCTGTGCGACCGGGGCGCTTGGTGGACGATCAGAGGATTGATAACTCGTGTGATTAGATGAATTCAGCATTTCCGTTGTTGAACGGTATGATGAAGGCCTCGTAACACTATTCAATTGTTGATAAACCGGTGGTGGTGAGTGAGATTTTGGAGAATTGTTGTACAATTGCTCGTTCATCTGACGGTGGGTTGACTGAGGTCTACTTGGGGGTTGCATTTCCGTGAGGCTTGTTGGTGGACTACCTGGACACTCACCACTCTCATCCGGCCTCGTGTCTGGCACATCGACGCGCGTTGGCTGTGGGGGATACGGCTCAATAGTACGCAATTCACTAGTTGTACTCCAGTACGAATCAGCAATTTGGCTGCTATCACGCTGGCTATCGAGTTTATTCGCATCATTGTATCTCGCCTCTGTACGAGAATCGATTGCTGATGAATTTTGACTACTCTGGGGTACTGTTGACTGCTCATCGTAGATACGATTGTCCGATGGTGTTGTTGCACTTGGCGCTGGCAGTCCCTGAAAGTACTGGCGAGCCCCCTCCAACACGTTCGTAAAACTCACATCCATGTCACGCCGACTGCTAATCTGTAACCAGATAAATAAATACATAATGCATCATCCGAGCATTGAGTCATTCACAAGAGCTCGCGAGCTACTCATGGCTAATAATATATAATGGCTTTGCTCAATTAAACTGTCCAATATCACTCAGCTGGGATTTAATGAAGCACCGAGTACCTCAACCTCACCGAGCAATCCAATGAATAAAAATAGAGAGATAAAAAAAAAATACTACGGGCATTGTTGTCCCAGTGACAATAAATTCATAAGATAATGGAAAAGAATGGAGAGCAAGTGTGAGAGAATCGATTCGTGCTGTGGGTGAGAGTTATAAGAGAGAGATGATGGGAAACATCGGATGGTTTGAGGCACAACTACTATTGCCAAAAGGCGGGATGTTTCTCACGAGCAAACGGGCAAACCGTGCCACGGTCGCCTCGGCCAACATTAATCTTCATCCTCTTGTATTTGTCTTGTCGCGTTCACGCAAGCTTTACACCCCTCCCTTCGCCCACCCATTTCTCTGCCTCTTTCACTCCAAAACCCACCGACAACATATTCATCGGTCTCTGTCGCACAGCCCAAGGTGTTGGATAACACGGCACTCTGGACCGAGGGAATCTCGTCTTATTAATCTCGTTGGCTGCACCATACCATCCACCAAGATAATATCATCTCCGAGAGAACGCTGCGCTACGGATGTTCGAAATAGAGCTAACAAGAAAAACTGGGGGATAATAAAAAAAAAAAAGAGGCGAGGGGTTTCTCACCTCCTGCACTTCCGACATACTGTATCATGATAACTCAATTTACCGTTGTGTTTCGAGGGGTTGTTTTTATTTAACCTACCCCCCCCGTAACACAAGGAATTTTTTTTCATCCCCGGTTTTTTTCCACTTGATGGAGAATTTGACTCCTTCATTAATTCTGTTTCATCACGATCTCATCAGGAAATTGTTTCAATGTGCAGATGCACTCTCTGTTATCAAATAAATACTCTCGACAAGACCCCCAGCTGTTATCCCTCGTACGACGTATTTTTCCTGGTGAATAAGTTCACTGAGTATCACAATATGTTTTTAGAATAACCAGTGGCAAAAAAAAAATAATAATAATACACCTACCCGCCTCATCTCGTTAAACCGCAGTTGGCTTTTGTGTCAACCCTCCGCCAGTATGTCCCCGGGTTGTACGCGTGACGGTCGCGCTTTCACCTCGTTAAACCTCTGTGCGATACTTTTTTTTTTTTCATTAGTTTAGCCTCATACTTTTTTTTTTCGGTACTTTTTGTTTTTCGCTCTAATGGATACACGAGCACTGCGATAACTTGAAAATTGTCGCGGACAATGGGCATGCGTAAAACAGTAAATTGGGGGATAATTATTTTCGGTAGTTTCCTTTCAATCGGATAAAATGAACGATCGCGAATGCCGCGATTTAAAGTAGGGATTTAAAGTAAAGGGATTTGTTTACAAAAGACAAGATCCCGTTGTTGTCTCAACCGCAATTGACAGGTGCAATTTTTTTTATTGAATTCCACATTTAAATGTGAAAAATGTAACGCAATTTACATGTGCCATAAACAATCCAATGAAACTGGATGAAATGAAAATATGAATTACTGAAATGCTCGAAATGCCGATGAACCGAATATCTCTTTGGACTTTTAACGTCCACAACACTCGCGCTCGTTCGCGCATATAGCTGAGAGGATTCGATAACTTTGAGTTTCTCAGTTTCCATTTCTGTATTTATTTTTATTTTTCAAATATCTCTCTCTCTCCGTTCATTCACACCACCCACACCTGCCTCTCACCGCTTTTCATCCCAATCCCATAGCGTATCGACTACTTGAAATCACGCACACTAATACCTGGTAACACCAAACCAAAGTACGTCTCAATGAACCGCAAATGCGATTGACAGCCTCGATAGTCAGCAATGAAACGCAAGATAAATCGACGTGTCTACATCTTCTCAATGCAACTTTCCGCGGGTGTCTAGTTTTTTTTTTTCAACAATTCCCACACAAAAAATAAATCATGAGGATTTAGAGAATTCACCGGAAGCGAGTGATTGATGAAATCAGCGTTGATATTGAAAATACAGTTTGTTTAACAAATGTCATTCCAAAATCATCGATTTCTCTCGCTTTCAATTAAAATCTCTCATCATCACTGCCCGGAGGTAATGACATAATTAATAAACACTTCATGTTTGACTTGGCGCGTTTCATCATCTGGTGAAGTCAATTAGGGATTCATCAGCCCGATGAATATTCATGGGGCTCGGATATCCCGACCACTAGACCATAATCTGCAAGATGAAAATCATCTCGATCAAATGATCAGCCAGATCGCCATCGAAAATAATGATTTTCACTGAAATTCAGTGGAAAAATACGTTCAGAGTGAAATTAAAAAGAGGATTATCATAGTCACCTCATTAATATATTCATTTGCATAAATATATATTAAAAAAATGGCATTACACGCATTAATTCTCGATTGAATTTCTAGTGTTTCCACTCTAGATACTCTCAACGGTGCACGGATACTGATGTCTTTGCACCGTTTGCTTCGCAAAAGTGAATAACAAAGAGTAAAAAGGTGGAGTAAGTAAAGCCGAAGGATGAGAAGAAGCAGACCTGCTACTGTCTAGAGGGATTATCGTTTTCAATGTTTTTACTCGTCATTCACAGCTGACAACCGCCCGTTGGGGATCTTGCACTTGGTGTGCACTACCTACAACTACAACAAGAATAAACAAGGAAATGTACAAAAGGAGTGAGATATTCTGGTGGATGGGAGTGAACGTTCCATCATCCATTTCTTCTTTATTCAGCTACGCAGCGGTGATTCCAGAGGAAGATTCTCCCAGTCTTCGCACACAGTCTGACTGATATTAAAGGGGATAGAAATAAAATCGTGACAGTGGAAAGTGAAAGAAAAAACAATTCAAACGTGAAGTTCAATGTAATTCTTATGGTTCGTCCCGAGGTATTTTCACTCTAGTCTAACCGAAATCTTGGTTTTAAAAAAAAATAGAAAATATATCCGAATATCCGGTATAAAGCGAGAAATCACTTCACCATGCACTCCTTTATCTCAATCCCCCATTAATCGTGTTTATTCAACTAAACCAAATTCCTCAACATTTTTTTACCCATCGATATGCATCACGGGATATTGGATACACCCATATACACCACTAAAGTCAATAATATTGGAGGATAAAACGAGTGGAGTTGAGGCATCGTATACCACAATAAGTTACCATTCTCCCATCTCTCTTTTTTTTTTTACGCCAACTCTCGACGACGATCAATGTCGACCCCCTTATCCCCCTGTACTCCCCCCCCATCAATCCCCCTCACCGCCCACCACCCACTCCTAACACACGCTCGTCGCAACGAATGCACGGAAATGAGGGGAAAGGAAAAAAGAAAAAGGGAAAATCATATCGATTGATCGTGGATTCGTTCATTTAATTTCGATGGGCTTGTGTATGAACACCCACACGTGTTTGTGAGATATTCTGGTGGAGTCGTCGGGGTGAGGATGAGGGGGGGCATGTGTGTTGCAAAGTCACGACGCTTTCATCGGGAATAATTAGATCCAAGGCCGACACGGGACATTGCCTCACCTCACAAAACGCCACGCGATCTTACCCCGCCTTCTGGTATTTCTCAATTATCACTTTAATG